AATAAAAAAATAAAAAATAAAATATAAGGCTGAATTTTTTTCTCCTGCACCTTATACTTTTTCTTTGTCTTCTTTGTTTTCTAATTTAAAGCAAAGTTTTAAAAAATCTGGACATAGATAACATATAGTAGTTCATGAGTGAATGATATTATCACAAAGAGAACTTCTTACCTGCCAAAATAATTTCTGCAGCATGTAAACATCCATGTCAAATGCAACATTAAAGATAATTATTGGTGTAAATAGATAAAAAAATACTTTTGGACTCATCCATTGTATGGCATCTGCATATATTTGGACCTAATAATATAAAAATATGTCATTTTTTCATTTATCCATCCTTCTATTAGCATCGATTGCATGCCAGGCACTCCTATCTCTAGCGAAAGAGAGAAAGATACATCACAATGTAATAGGTGTTCCAATCTTAACTCTATTGATTTTCATCATTTTCTTTCCTTTTTTTAAAGATTTATTTATTTATTTTGGGGGAGGAGAGGGAGAGAGAGTCTTAAGCAGACTCCCCGCTGAGCACAGAGCCCGTGTGGGGCTCGATCTCACCACCCTGAGATCATGACCTGAGCCGAAACCAAGAGTTGGATGCTTAACTGACTGCGCCACCCGGGAGCCCCAGATTTTCATAATTTTCCATCAGATTGTTACCAGTTACAGTGGAAAGTTAATGCATATCTCCATGCCCATTTTATTTTTTAAACAACGGGTATAGAAAGTACATTGATATGGGTACAAGAGAATATGGAGAAGATTTTCCGGCATAAAAGAGGAAGACAGGTTTCAGGTAGATAGATTATCATGCACAACATCCACAAAGAAGTAAACAATCATATCAAGTTTCAGAAACTACAAATAATTAACCATGGCTTACACAGAAGATGGGTGTGGAAGAATAGCAGGAATAAAAACTGGGAAGTTAATGCTGTGAATGAGATAACTAATTAATGGTGTTTATCACAAAATATTTAGTTGATATTTGTAAATCCTGTTATGGGCATCCACTCAACATTCTGTTCATTAAGGAAACACTGATTGCCCACTGTGTTAGGTGGTATCTTTGCTTTGGGGGGATGAGTCTCCATGAGTCTCTTGTGTTCTTTTACATCTTATGAGTGGAGGCATTGATTGCTTTTCTTCCAGACTATCTTTCAAAAATATTTGTATGGCTAACAGCTTTGGAAGACAGAGCCAAGTGCCCCCCTTTAGAGCAAAGAGCTGGTGTACTATACTGTAACAAGGACAGTGTCTCCTTCCAGGGCAAAAGATCAGGTGAGCTTACTGCCCATCACAAAATATTCAAGTTCTCTAAACTCAGGTTTCTTCTCCTGTAATGCAATCCATTGTGTATGCAGGTTTCACCGGGCCCTCTTTGCTTCTCCCTGTGGGTATTGGGGCTCATGGAACAGGCACAAGAAGATGCTGATACTCCGGCTTCTGCTATCGCTGTGAGCACTAAAGTCCTTTTCTTGGGCCTAGGAGTCCCATGTCTTTTGCCAAGACCATGAAACTGTGGCAGGCTAACTTATTACTTGCAAATAGAGTAAATCTTAGACCCTTCACAGTTCTTGACCTCTGTTCTCTTCTTTTAAAAGGTTATTGACAAATAGAAAAATTAAGTTTATAGATGTACTTAAAATTGCATATAAGTCAAAACTGTACAGTTACAAAACCTATTGATGACAAATGAAGTAATAATCTGGGTCTTATATGGATACATGTCTTCCATGATGTTCGTTAATAGCCCTGGTTACATTTGTTTGGGAAAGCCAATCGTTTTCATACATGTTCTCATTCACACTCTGATTGACTAGAGTAGGTGTTGGCGAACTATGGCCCAAGGCCACATCTGACTCAAGGCCTGTTTTTGGAAATAAAGTCTTACTAGAACACAGCCATGCCAGCTCACTTACATATTGCCTGTGGTCGCTTCTGAACGATAATGGCAGAGTTGAGTAATTGTGACAAAGCTCACGTGGCCTGTATAACTTAAAATATTTACTATATGGCCTTTTATGGAAAAATTTGCTGCCAACCCCAGGGCTAGAGAACTATCTAATGTGTCAATGATACATTCTACATCCCTTACAGTAAGATGTACGCCTCTACCTGACTCCAGTTGTTCTCAACTATTTATAACACTGTAGCTGCCTGGACTACATCTGTAGTTTGCCTTCCTCCTCACGTCCAGCTCCAGGTAAGAGGTTCAACTTCTGTTTCTTGAGATCTTATAAGTCACACACACTTAAAGTTTAGCCTCTATTCTAATGGAAACCCTGTAAAACATTCCTAACTGAGGCAATAGATTGGTTCAATGTCAGAATTCTCTTGCTACTAGAGTCCTATACCAGCAGCTTAGGGTCTCTGGGCTTCTGTATTATCAACCAAGTCCAGTCAGTTAAGCATCTGCCTTCAGCTCAGGTCATGATCCCAGGGTCCTGGGATCAAGTTCCGCATCAGGCTCCTTGCTCAGTGGGGAGCCTGCTTCTCCCTCTGCCTGCTGCTCCCCACTCCCCCTTGCTTGTGCTCATTCTCTCTCTCTCTGACAAATGAATAAATAAAATCTTTAAAGAAAAAACAAACCAATTCTTGTCTAGCTTTTGAATTCTGCTTAAACTCTCATTAGCTGCTCACACTCTCAGTAGGTGTATGTGAACTCATTCTCTGAGTTGCCTACCTCCTTTCAGATGGAGGCTCTGTTTTGACTACATTTAGCTGGATCTCAGCTCTGTCACCCCTGGTTCCTTTTTTCACACATCTGATCTGATGTCATCCATATCACAAGCATCCATCGACTGGCAGAGCAGTGAACTGGCAAGTATTTTTGCAAGTTTCCTTAAGCCATCTTTGTATTTGTATGAATTTGAGATATAGTACAAAATATTCATATTTACTATACACACCTGCTCAGATGTAAAACTTAATATTTCAAAACTGCATCCAATTAAAAATAATATCACAGGGAGAGGAATTGGAAAGTCTTTTAAGTGTAGATTCAAAAATGCTGCAAAAAAATACATCTTTACTGAAAGGCAGTGAAATATCACATTTATGGAACTTTAATTTGATATGCTTTCTTAATACTGAGGACAATGAAATACTGTTTCACTTTTCACTTACTTAATTCCTGTAATTGAAAACCTCTCTCATACTTAAGCACACTGAATCTGTATAATTCTTAATCTGCTAGATTCTGTATTTGCCTCTTCTATGAAGTATCTCATTTCCTTAGAATCTTTAGTAAATACTGCTAGAAGTCATTGGCTCTTGGGTTATTACTAAAATATTTATAGCAATTTTTTGGTACATGCTATAATCAGATATTAGTTTCTTTAGCAATCTTGCAATAAGAGGTTAATAAATAATGAAACTTTAATGAAATCTCCTGGCTGATTCCCAAAATAACAATGAGGAACTAGGTATAAGAATTTGCCCAATGAGAAAAACTAGCTTCCCATTACTGCTTACCTACTACACATTAGAAAACCTGTAATGAATTGTTATCAAAGTACAATAAGCCGTATCACAGCATTTCCTTCAGCTTAATGTTTTCTGCTTCTTTGTAATATAATTTCTAATCAAAGAATGCAAAAAAAAGGGCTTTCTTTTGATTTCTACAGTATTCTTTTCTTCTCATAGCAGTTAGGCATAATTTATTATTTGAACAAAACTTAGGGGACACCCTACCAAGTGGTTAAAAAGTAACTGGTCCACTCAAAAGACCCCACTCATTTTGAAAATTCTTTGTTCAAGTGAAGAAAGTGGTACACAAGTAGCTTTAATATATGAATGAAACTATAGTTTGTGATCACGCAGATAGCAATCAAAATCCCCCAACCCTTGATTTTTGGCTTATCTGCTTCAATTCTTCCCATCACTTAAATCTAACCATGACCTACCAGGTAAAAAGTGTGACTACTTTGAATCCAAAAGAGGATGAAGAATATGAATCAGTCTCTACATGTCTCTTTTCAGAGGCAGATTATCATTGGATTCATTTGGTTGATAATCTTAGGTTAAAAGTATGAATTTAGGAACAAAATTCTAACTTTCTATTACTGCTACTTTGACATTTACAAGATATAGCCATAGAATAAACTCAAATAAAGGTGACATTTACAAGATATAGCCATAGAATAAACTCAAATAAAGAGAGTTACACCTACCTCCAACTGTGCAGATCAAGGACAATATTAGAATGATTTCAGGGAGATCATCAGAAGTAGTCATAAACGTACTTCTGAAAAATTCCAGCCATGTGCTAGAAAATCCTTTGGTAAGAACAGTGAAATTAGACAGACTGGAATTCAAATTCATTCTGTTGTTTCTCACAGACCAGCTGAATTCAACTCTTAGAATTTAGCAAAACTCTCACAGGATCAAAGGATTGTAAAATTTGCCTTCTTTCTGACCTTCTAGCGCATTTCTTTAAAAAGAAAAAAAAAAAGAAGAAGAAGGAAGAAGCTCATATTTCTCCTTAATTATTTCTAGTGATATCTTAGGGCCCACCAAATTTAGGGAAGCCTCTGCCTTCTATGACGCTTACAATTTAAATGAGATAGAAAAGGTACAACCCCGAGTGACGGAGGCTAGCCAGTGTCACCCTGTGTTCACTTACTATGCCAAGCACTACTCAGCTGTTATTCGCCCTGCACCTACCCAACTGTCTGAAGGGAGTTTTCATCTAACCAGTTCCTGGGACCACAAACTGGTGTAGGTTAATTAGTTCTGGGGATGGACAACTGAGAGGTTTGCCCTCAACTTAGCTGAGCCTCTGGAAGCATCTTCTGGCAGCTATTCCAAAGTGGGAAATGGCATGGGGTCAGAATGTTCTGATCTCATTTGTTGCTCTCTCCAGACAGAAATTAATAGACCATGGTGCTATTCCATCATAGCTTTCTTTTATCTCATTTGGGAGTGAGGAGCCAGGTTTTCTCTAACTTTTGTATATCTACATAGTGACCAAGAATGTAAAAAAAATGTTGAAACCAAAAGGATTTAAAATAGGGGAGTTGTTACATGTTCTATCTCATGTGTCCTGGGATGTGTCTTGGTTTGAAGAAATAGGTCATAGCTACAGTCCACTAATCTCATCTGCTTCCCGTGCTAAGGAGAGTTTTATATCGGGGTCCTAAAATTCATGCAGGGAATTCTTCCAATTGAATTTCATTAATAGTGACTTAGCATTTTCCAGTGTCCACTATTAGCATCTTCTCTGGCTGCCATGCTAAATCAATTGGTCATTACCAAACTTCCTCTCATAATCCAACAATGTCTTTTTAAATTTCAAATTTTAATGTATTTTTAAATTTCAAATATTTATATTTTATTATATGCCCTTTCCTGAGTATAAAAATAATATTTTGAAAGAGAAAATTAAATGAATACATGTTTATTGAACACTTTTGAAATAAATATGTAAACAAACATTCCAAAAAACAGGAAAAAAAGTCAACCAGTCATGCCATCTCATGGCTCTTGTGTGTTTTATTTATAGGGTTGGGCTCATCCTTACATAATTTTACTTTATGCTGCTTTCCACTGGATGTTCTATCACTAGCATCAAAGAGCCTTGTAAACACCATTTATAAAGGTTGTAGTATATTAGCACCAATATAAAAGTGCTGACTGTGGTCAGACTGCCCGTAAGCAAAGGGCTGATGGGTTGCAGCTTGCAGGGTGAAAGACTCTGGGCAGCTTCCTTCACAGCTATTGGCCTCAGATTTCCATAGGTCCCTAGTCTGTGTCACTTATTCTCTCTGTGCTTATTATATTTATTTGGCATCACCTATGGTATCATAATGATACTGGTGCCTGGGTCCTATCCCCAGAGATTTCTATTTAAATCAGTCTGACTTGCAGCCTGGGCTCCACAAGCAATTTTAATGTGCAGCTAAAGTCAGCAACCACTGTGATTCACCCAATTCAAAGGCAAAATTGCTCCATTTTTAGTCTCAAATCCAGTTTCTTTTTATTATTCTTGAGTCAGGTTTTGTGAGAAAGAGTATCAACGCCCTTCAGGCAAAGACCAGCGGAAACACATCTGAGGTTGAGAAGTTGGGTTCATCGTTTGTCACAGTAAGGGAGAACATTCACCCTAGGGAACTGTGGGGTGTCTCAGTAACAGGATGTTGAAATTATTGTGGATCTGGGCTCTGGCTGGGTAATTCTAGACAAGGTTAGTAACAGGATGTTGAAATTATTGTGGATCTGGGCTCTGGCTGGGTGATTCTGGAGAAGGTCCAGAAGAGCAAGGGTTTACTATAGATTGGTGCTGTCAGAAAGCAAGGATAATTCTGTGGCTGGGTATCTTAACATATCTACAGGGAGGGCAGCCTGGAACAAGGATAAAGCTGTCACGGGTAAAGAAGCAGCAATCACTCATTTTAGCCAAGAGAGGGGATGTTTGGTATCTATGGGTTGCCTGGTGACTTTCTGTTTCACTTTTATGGTTTCGAGTGACCTCATCTGATGTTGGTGTTCTGTGAGATTGTGTCCAACAGGAGAATAATATGGACTACATACGAGCAACAGGCTGGCTGGTGATGACACGGAGTGACACCTAGCTTTGAGTGTCAGACCAGTTCCCTGATGGCAGGGGCTTTTTTTTGTGTTTGTCTGGTTTTTGTTTTTCCTCAAAGGATTTCTAAATTCCTTCACTTTACTTTAACGTGTCAAGAGCTGAAGGTAGACCCGGGGATCCTGATAGCCATGTAAGTGATGGAGCAGAGTGAGCTTGGCCATCCCTCTAAGACAGAGATTCTCAACCTTGGGTCCATGTTGGAATCACTTAGAGTTTTTAAAAATACAGAGGTGGGGGTGGCTGGCTGGCTCAGTTGGTAGGGCATGGGACTCTTGGTCTCAGGGTTGTAAGTTTGAGCCCCATGTTGGGTGTAGAGATTACTTAAAAATAGAATCTTAAAAAAAAAAAATACAGATGTATGGGTGGCACCCCCAGAGGTTAATTTAATTGGTTTGAGGTCTAGCCTGGGTATTGGGAACTTTAAAAGCTTCCCAGTGATTCTAATGAGCAGCCATTATTCAGAAGCCCTGCGCTAGGAGAGGTCCGTGCCTTCAGGGAACAACACTGTGATAGTTTGATGATATTTGCTTTTAGTTAAACATCTAACTATTTAGGAAAATAATGTCAATGTCACCTATTAACTTGCCCACTGTTACTCCAAAAGTAAACATCCTGAGGCAAACAGGCTTGACCAAAAAAGAAAAAGTATTTTCTGCAACATAGTTACACATTCTTACATGCTTGCAGAATTTAATACAGTTAAGGAGTTTATTTTCCAAACTAAAAATAGGGAGACATGTTCCCGCAAGCATTTTTCTCGTTTCTAAAATTGTTTATTTGAAAACTTTACTGGGTGTTTACATATTTAATTTTAATCAATTCCTTTCAGAAAAGAATAAAATTACTCTGAGTCTTAATTATCCTTGAAATTCAGGGATATAGATGATCAAGTTCAACAGAATTTCACTATCTGGCTGTAAATATGTGGCAAATACTCAGTCTGGCTTTTCCAACCTCTGCTCCGAATTCTCCTAGCAAAACTCTGACCCTAAGAAATGATCTCATCTCAGTAAAATGCTAACACTACCCATACTAGGTATGGGTACAGAAATAGCAGTGAGACTAAACATATTTTCAATGTAATTAAAACTCTTCTTAAGCTTAAGCTGACCTTTGACAACTTTGGAGTTTATGAGTCCGTGTCTCATTAAGGGAAAAATATTCGTTTGTCTTGAAATTACCATATAGGTCTCCCACATTAATTTTTCAATAAATTCGATAATGCCTCCATTTGCACTGTGCATGGAGTAGATGAATGACTGCTCTCTCAAAAAGGGAATGTAGCCTTGTCCTCAACAGTCTGTCAGCCTTAAGAAATTCTGTGTCACGGAAAAGTGGAAGTAAGAATAATTCCCTGCCCCTGAAAACGGGAGGTCTTTTTTCCTTCTAATCACACTCTTCAGGAATTAGCTGACAAAAGCATCCTGAGGAGGGCACGGTGGCACCCCAGTAATCGTCACGAGCTGCAAACTCTGGCCTAATGGTTTATGACAGATCCACCAGCAGGGTCCTGCCACACCACACAGCAGCCCTTACTCACGGACTCTGACTGACGTGGGCGGTCTGTCTCCCTCCTAATGCCTCTTCACTCCCAAGGAGCTCTTCCTTCCTCTTGGCTCAGCTCCATGCACCTGAGGAGATTGACCAGGGCAGCAGTGTGCTTCCCTCTCCGTGCCTCAGCAAGGCCAAGGGAACAAACCCACGCCAGGTAAATAGTTCAGAGGGATGATATAGGAAGAGTCATGAGGAGGGGCAGGGGCTAAGGAGCAGAAAGTCCAACGGAGAGGCTCGTTTGCCTTGATTTGGCTGCCACAGGAAAGGTGGAAACTCCGGAATGGCTGGCTGAATGCGTAGCCGGAATACTGTGGGAGCATTTGCTCCGCTCCGAGGAAAGGCTGAGCCAGCAGGGAAAGTCCCAGAGGGGAGGGGACAACTTCCTAAAGGGTAAACCGCGGGAGGGCTCACCGTCCAGAGCCTCAGGAGGAGTATCCTGGAGTAGTGAGAAGAGGAGGCTAGCTACTCTGGTCACCCCAGAACAGGAACAATCAACTGCAACCTCAACTGCAGTTACTTGCTGCAAGCCCCGCCCCTGGTCTGCACCCATTGGCTTCAGGTTCATAACTCCTGACTTGATTGGCTGATGAAATACACCGGAAGATGCTACTCTGCACCATTGCCCCTTTACTACCAAAGACCTTGGAAGTCTTAAGGCCATGTTTGTTTAAAAAAATCCATAAATAAGGGTGAAAAGGAACCCCAAGGATTTTATTGCTATGTTAATTTAAAGTTTTGGACCAGTGGGTTTCTGGCAAAGAGCTGATGGACACTGTTTTCCTAGAATTCCAGAAGTGGGTGTCCTGGGTAAGACAGGGAGGTAGAGATTTTGAAATATGAGGAAGTAGGTTGCTGGATTAGGAAAAAAAGGGAGAGAATGGCTCTTTGGGACATGGAGGAGAATGAACAGGCTAGGTGGACTTTCACTTCTGGAACATTTATGTGGAGAAATTTTTAGGAATAATGATATACTCATTTCTTTTTCCTAAACATACTATGTAAAGGATATTTTAATTGAAATTACTTAGTGATATTACCATAAAGCCAATTTTCATATTTCCACTCTCATCATAAAATATTTTAGGAGACATTTTGTAATGATTTTGAAATCTAGATACTTACTTGTTATATGTGATATCTCTTTATAATTTTACTCACCCAAAGCCTTTGTGAAGTTATTTCAATGC